ACCATCCTCAATGCTCCCTAAAATGGTCTACTGCCCCTGGAGCATGGGGAAATAAAGTAGAGAAAGCAGTCATGTGACCGCCACTAAAAAAATCATTTGGGGGGGATGAAGTATTTATGTGGGATTTTTTGGGGGGGTGAATCTGTACCCATTCTATGGACATTAAAGTATTTAGAGACCTCAATGACCTCTATAGCTGCAGGCCCTGTGGAGTAATTTGTTCTTAAAGATCACAACAGAGGTGGTTTTCAGACCTTTCTATCGGCTTATGAAGACCTGCAGTGTTTTAACATTCAAAGTTTGGCAGGCTGCCAAGTCCTTGGTGCCATAGAGAAAAAGAGGAGAGGAACTGTGATTTCAGTACTTCTGTTGTGAATTTTGAATATTTTTAATTTCTCCATAATGCCTGCAGCTACAGAAGTCAGGGATGGCTTGTTTAGAAAAAAAAAAAGTAGTGCATTTAATTGCACCACATCGCAGTGCATGGTATTGCCGTACCATGTGTTGCGGCACATTCAAGCGCATTGCAAGTTGGAGGTGTTGTTTTTTTTCCGGTTGCTATTCAAAAGAATGGCAGCGCATCTCCTGCACTGTTGATGCACGGTAGGTGCCTTGTCCAGCATAAATCCTACCCGCAGCCCTTTTATCAGGACTACTGTGAAGTTTTTGTAACTGGTCCAGTAAAGGATGCTACAGAGGAAAGTGTAAAATACCCATTCTACTTCATTCATAGGGGTCTTTAGCTAACGCTTTCATGGAGTTCTTTAAATTTTAAATACCCAATCCTTTGCATCTCTTCATGGTCTTTTCAACATTGTATTTTTTACACTTTAGGAATTGACTTCATTGGGGAAATCTAAAAGCCTTTTACAAATGTTCTTATAATTGCTTTAACCTTCTGCTACCGTGTTATTTTGTGAAGCTGCATGTAATCTTTGTACTTCCCGTCTGGTTTAACCGCTAACGCCATTATAATTTCTATTAAGGGTAGCGAGAACAGCCTATGCCGACAGACTGCTCTGTACATAGAAAGGTGTTTAAAGAAAATCAAGTCCCCTTTTTTCTAAAACTGGTCCTCCTCTTTGATGCATTTATTGCTAAGATTATGCCGTTTTGGTTTTCTTTTGTTAACGGAGATGGGCAAATCTTTCTCCAACAAAGTTCTCTAAAGATTATTCTGCCGACCAAAAAATTCCTAAGCAGGCCTTGTGGGTTTTTTTTTTTCGGAATTCTGTTTTTTTTTTTTTTTTTTCTATAGAAAGGATGTGTGCGATTTTGTGTTGGTTTTTTTTTTTCCCTCTTTCTGACGAGATGAATGTTTGGTTTTATTTTTCACGAGCTGAGCCTTCTAATTCGGTTGTAGTTAAATAAACTTTCTCTTCTTCCGTCATGGAACTGCTATATTTTGGGGAGTGGGATTTGAATTTTAGCATTAAAGTGGAGCTCCGGGCAAACCAGTTCGTACATGGTTGCTATTTCACCTGTCGAAGGGTTTGTATTTTTGTTGGTGTGTGTGTGTGTGTGTGTGTGTGTGTGTGTGTGTGAAATTGGGCACCACTGTTTTGGCAATCCATTTTTGAGATACACACACAAACACACACACTTCTGTTGGCTAGATCATGCTGGTACTTACCAGTTAGCATTACTGCTTCTTGGGTCATCTCCCTGCTCACTGAAAGTGATGAGGCTGATTTACTCTACAATGATCAATGCTGGAGGGGGAGTGCTGAGACCCAAAGCTGAATTGCTATAAGAAGCACTCCGGGGCAAAAGAACTTAACCTTGTAGTTGGGTTACCCTGCCACTGCAAGGGTTAAGTGCTCTCCAGCTATGGATTGTCCCTCAGTGTCCCCACATCTAATGTAAGTCAAAGGACCTGTATAAGACTTGATGTCAGTGGTCCTTAGACCACTGATGCCCAGGGAAGAAGAAGCTGCCAGGAATGGTCCATCATCGTAGTTCTCAATGTAATACAAGTGCAGCAATGTCACCGCACTTGTAGTCCATTCTTCCTTCCTCCTGTCCATGTTACTGAATGTCTGTACCGAGGTACGGACATGGGCTGCACAAAGTCTGCATGAGCCAGAGCATTGTTCCACTCCACTTTATTGCGGTTGCAATGGCTCCAATGCAGAAAAATAAAAAAAAATTAAATGTTGTCTTTTCGTTTATGACTATATCAGGGACATGATTGTGTTGTATGGCAACCTTTGGGTTGTCTGTGGAGATACAAATGCAGACAGTCAGCTCTATTTAGAAATGAAACTGTTGGCCCAGTTGGAATGTTTTGGCTTGCTGCCCATTGCCCCGACCTTTTAAATAGGAGCAGAGTCTGCTGGTCACATAGATAGGAGGATGTCTGGAAATGTGCAATCATTTTATTAAATATCGGGGTACTTTTCGATTGGGTAATGAGAGCTGTGGGTGTAGGGGCCTCTTTTGTCATCTGCTCATATGTTCCTTCCTTTATTTAGAACCAGAATGAGGATACGAAGAAGCAGATGTCCAATTTACAAGGGGAGCACAGCAATCTAAAGCTGGAACAACGTAAAACCATCGAGTTTCACAACCAGAAAATATCTCAGCTCCAGAGAGACAAAGATAACGAGATTCTCAATCTGCAAGGTGAATGACTGTCCCTGGAAACTGTTGACAATTAAAGTGTAGCTGTACCCCAAGCTTCTTCCTCCCTTTTAAAAAAAAAAAAAAAGTTTTGAATGTGGGGAAGTGCCGTGCAGTACTGGGGGGTCCCCGGTTTTAATCCTGGCCAGCATACTGTCTGCATGGCGTTTGCATGTTCTCCCTGTACTTGCGTGGGTTTCCTCTGTGTACTCTGGTTTCCTCCCACACTCCAAAGACATGCTGGAAGGTTAATTGGCTCCTGTCTAAATTGCACCTGTAAGCTCCTTTTGGGGAGGGACTGATGTGAATGTGTACAGTACGTAAAGTGCTCCATAAAAATTCTCAGTGCTATATAAATACCTGTAATGAATACAAAATTAGAAGCCCTGTCGGGTTTTGCAGCTATCTGGGGCTCCTTTTAGGGTCTGTTCACACCAAAAGAACATCCTACCATATAGCTGCTGATCTACGCTGTGAAGGAAGCGGTGCTCCGATTGCCACACACGCCTAAGCTGTCCATACATTGTAATATTTTCTTTATTGGACCTGCGGGCAGAACGAAGGAAATATAACATAACATATTCCTCCAACGCTTCCGAATGTTGATTGAGGAATCTCCCGCTGTCTTCATTGTATCCTGGCAGCAGCCACCGGCTCATTGGCGGCTGCTGGCTTTGTTCGTTCTAGGTTTTTCCAACTAGCCCCCTCCCCCCTTTTTTTTTCCCCCGACATTTCATTCAGTTTTGTTCACCACCATTGGGATGTAACATTTACTATATGTTGCATTTGTGTAATTACACATCTATAAACGGAATGGGGTGTTGAGTCAAATACATACATTGTTGGCCCTATCAGTTGCACGTGCTGTCAAGGCGACGCAATCTTCCTTATCATACTTTACTACTTAGTGGGTCACCTTATCATTCTTTACTACTTAGTGAGTCATCAATCTGGAACACGTTTGTGCACATGCGTATATATAGCGTTGTTGGCCCTATTGGTTGCACATGCCGTAAAGGTGAGGCAGTCTTCCTTATCAGTCTTTATTACTTAGTGAGACACCAATCTGAAACAAGTTTGTGCCCATGCATATATATAGCATTGTTGGCCCTATCAGTTGCACATGCTGTCAAGGTGAGGCAGTCTTCCTTATCCTTTTACTACTTAGGGAGTCACCAATCTAGAACAAGTTTGTGCATATCGGATGTTAACTAGATGCTTTATCCAGGTCACAAAGTAGTAGGGTAGGATAAAGAAGACCGCCCAAGAGCCTGCACCATCACAAACAGCAGTAGTAGCTCACAAATGTCTATACTGGTGGGGACCTGTTTTTGAAATCTGGATTTTCCTAGCTTAATGGCGGGGGTTGCCTCTTGTTGAATCTTGGTATTCTTGGGGAAGCCTGAGACTGCTTCTTAGTGCACCTAAGGCACAAGGAGACTGTTCAAAGGCAATATGATTTGACTCCTCTTAATTTATAATCTGTTATTCTTTTAGATACTATTGCAAAGCTTCGTGAGGAAAGTAAACTTCTCAGGAAGGCCCACCAAGATGTCCACTCAAAGCTTGTAGGAGCTCAGGTAAATTTGATTTTATAATTATTTCAGTTGGCTAAAATGTCATTTCCTCTGCTGTGATCTGGTTGAGGGCTACACTACATTTGTGCTCTTGGTACATGGCCAGTCACCCCGTGTTGGTGGTCAGTATTAACCCCCCGCCCTTTCCCCCGCATGGTTGGTTAGCGACCGTGTTTAAACATCCCTTAACCTTGGCCTTACCTGATCATCTGCTCCTATACCACTCTCTCCCCATTGAGATCAGAACTATATACATTTGTACTGATGGGCGGATGTTGCTCTACCTGACAGTACTGGCTTTTGTTTTAGTGACAGGTGCTGGAACACAGAGAGCATTTAAGCACCTGGAACCCTGCTGCCACCCTAAAAACTATGGTAGAGTGCAGGTAGCCACCAGCACAGCACAGACACAACACACTAACCAAAGCAAAGGATATCCTAGAGCACAGGTGCCCAACATGGAGCTGACCGTGCCCAGGACATGGTGTGCAGCACACAGAGTGCTTGCTTTATGCTGGTCACATGTAGGGCACCAGGGCCCTAAATAGCACATGAGGTTGTTTAAAGAAGAATGCTTTGGCACTTGGAACATTTGCAAATTAACCCTCATATCATAATATGTACCCTTTACCTTGACCATTCTGTCCAATATAAACATTCAAATCGGAACAATCAGAATTTTAGAAAACCCTTCTTCACTCTAAAAATGACCGCTGCAGCTCTACAAAGTCTTCTGGAGACAATGTAAATATTTTTTTGTTTTGTTTAATGTGTTACAAACTACTGTACTATCAGACCACCATTCTTTGAGACCACTACAAGCCTTTGTAAACCTTAACAAACATTCACCTAAACAGTTAATTAATCCAAAAGCAATGATCAAACTAGAATATCTAGGAACGATTCTGTTAACTATGTGCTATACAAAACCTCTTAATGCAGTGTGGAGTAATTAACTCTTTCAAAGTTCACAGCAGAGACTCTAAAGTCAAGTTTCAGTCCCTCACATCCTGCTGGAAGTTCACACTAAAAGGCTGGCAAGTATTTGCTCTTCATAGAATATAGGGGAGGAGAGCTGCAATTTCAGTGTCTCTGTTGTGGATTTTGAAGACAAATATATCCCCAGAGCTTGCTGCTACAGAAGTCAGTGTTATATATTTGTATATTTTATATACTGTATACTGTATTTGTGGGTTGTTTTTTTTTACATGCATTTGCTGCTTGTTCAGAATAGGTAAATAGTCTAGACACAGGTTCACTTTAAATGGAACCTTTCCCATAACTCATGGATGCCTCCATTGATAGTTTCCTGGCTGCCATCCTTACCACGTTGCTTCAATGCTTTGGAACAACCATGCAAATAAGGATATGACCTTTTATAAATAAGCACACTTTCTTCAGGTCAGTGACTCTGTTCTTGCGTTTATTGAAACCAGTTGGTCAGTGTACTACCCAGACAGCTAACCTCTTCCAAAGGGTATTGGCAATGGCAGCTTCCATGTGTCTCTCAGGAAAGGTTTGCTTCAAGCCGTTACTTTGCCCCACATGCGCTTTAATCCTGACCTGATCCTCGTTAAAACAAAGATTTAAGCCTGCTTTAGTTCAGAGCTCTGTGATTTCTTATTTCAGAAGGATAAAAAAAAAACATATAGTGCGCTGTACCTCTTATACTGACCTGCAGATAAAGAAACAAATCAATTTTTCTTTACCCGGTTTTAGTATTGATTGTCTGGGAAAACCATTGAAGGAAATTAAAGCGACTCCTGAACGAGAGGACAAGCAGACACTGAGATGAATTGCTTGGAAGAACACGCTATTTAATTAGAAACTAAGAGGGGGGGGGGGATATTTGCATAGTAATTTGACATTTTCGGCCTTTGACGATTCTTAATTTGGGGCTGTGTTTTGGCAAGCAGCTTCGTTACTCCTGCAGTGATGATGTCAAGGGAGCGTGCTTAACAAGACCGTAATCTTCAAGCAAGGCAGGGATTTTATTTTTTATTTTTTTCCCTCTGATGCAGGATTTATTTTGTTGCCCCCTTGCGTCTCTAAAACGCTCACAGTAATTGGGAACTCTCTCCGAACCACGTTGTAGGAAAGGAAAAGATCATTATCCATGACTATAAACAAAACTGGTTACGCTTCAGCTAAAAGTGTTTTCAGAGATGGTGACTAGGGATCACCTTATGGAAGAGTTTGTATAGACTCGTTGAACTACAAAATCTTTACTGACTCAGTCAGCATCTTTTTTTTGGGGTGCATTAAAGGGCAGGCTGGGCCACACAACTAAATACAACTCGAAACGCCTAAGAAGGAATGGTTTTATCTGCCAAAAATGAATTTAAAAAACGTAAATGGCTTCTTGTGCTGTGATCGTTGGCTGAATAGTAAGGAGGTTGACTGGACTCTATAGTTCTGCAGTCCTTCACACTACCCACCCCTAAGGACTCTTAGAACGGCCAGGGAAAACCAGCAGGTCGGTGACGCCCACCATGAGATGTTTCCATTAATATAACCCTTCTAGCTACCTGCCTTATCCACCTTTTGGCTTACAGATACTAAGTCAATAAGTTGCGTAGAGCTTACAATTTAGAGGAGGAAGGCTGACCGAGCCATTGCAATAAAGTTGGCGCTGACGGGTCTGAACCCTCCACCATTTCTTAGGGTGAGATCTTGGTACTCTCCTGTCATAATGTAGCAATCTTGTGTCACTTCCTGAATATCAGTGGCAGTTACGATGTATAAATATTTGTTATTTCTTGGAGCATGCAATAAAGATTTATGAAGATTTGAGGGTCCCCGAACTGGGTCTTTAAGAAGCATTATCAGCTTATAGCGCAGGCACTCCTACTACTGGCCTGCTTTCAGCTAGTGTGAGCTAAGTTTTTATATAAATATCTCAGGTAATTGAACTAGTCAACTGAAAAATTAATTTTGACCTTCCTAGGAATATATAAACACATTTTTAATGCAAACCTTGTCTTAAGGCCCCGCTGAAAATTTAGTTTAATCAGCTAACTATGGTCCAGGTGTAGCAAAACTAAAAGAGGTTTCTTTAGTAGCCACAGCCTAAATAGAAAAACCTGTCCTTTGCCAGCATTGCAGAGTGGAACCTGTGGAAGTACTGGTCTCTCTACAGAGGTCTGACCTGTCCTCTGCTGAATCTGACTTATAGCCCTGTAATTGGCAACGCTGCTGAGTGCAAGCCAGAGCTCTCCAAACAGCAGGAAACATACCCTGCTAATTGGAGAGCTCTGGCTTAAACTCAGCAGGGGGGGTGTTAGACCTCTGCCGAGAGACCACTGCTTTCACACAGAGAGCAGGGGCCCCACTTTGCAGCATGCTTGCAGAAGATGGGCTTTTCTACTTGTCTTGTAGCCGATTTGGAAAGAAAACGAAACTGTAAGACTTGTACTTGGACACCAACATGTTTTGATGCATCTGCAGTGTATGTAGCTGATTAAAACTGAAATTTTCGCCAATCATGTTGGATGTCCTCCAGCCAGGAAATGAGCTAAGCTCTATCTGACTTTCTGCAGCTTCTAATGCACATTGTGAGATGTTCACAGTGTGCAGTGAAATCAATTCAGTCCAGGAGAGAGGACTGAAGGATAGGTCAGAGTTCAGCTGTGAGATGTGTTTGAAATACAGCTTTAAGGAACTTAATAACAAAGTCCTTCTACTTGGCATATTTTGCTGTGTATATAATGCCTTCCCTGGTGACCACTCTCTCCATCATACACCTACTACCAGGATTTTGTGCTCTCCCCCGGAGTCCGCTGACTGCTGGACTTGTGCTCTCTCCTATTGATTACTGTAACATTTTATTTGTGACCTTGCTGTCTTACAACTCCCCTCTCTGCAGTGTAGGCGCTCTATCAGTATTGTAATCACTTTTAGTGTCCCCATGTGTGCTTGGCTTGTAGGACGCTGCTCCATATGTATCAGTATTGATTTGTGTGCTCTCTGTATTCTCTTCACATGTTTCATGTTGGTAAATTATTCTTTTCTGTATTATTTACATTCCTGTAATGCGTTAGGTCAATGTAACTTTCTGTCCTGAATACCAAAAACGTTCATTCAATATTAAACACAAACTACTCTTGGCCCCCCGTCAGATACATGTGTCCACCTATGATGCTGTACATGTATTGGGCTTGCTGTGCTAAATAGCTTCTCAGCTGTGGCTATCTATCCCTGTAAGATTGTATGATTGTATGTCTTTGTTTCTTCAGAGTTGGTTAAAAAAAACCATGGGCCCGCACAAGTGCCCCAGCGCTTGTGTTTTTAAAGAGAATCATGAAAGCTTCTTTGGCCTAAAGCGTATCTAAACCCAAGAGCAAAATTTTTTTGATCCACTAAAGCTTGCCAGTCCTTTAAACTACATTTTTAAGCCTAATTTCCCTTTGTCTTACTGGCAGGATCACTAAGTGAAGATACTTTCTGTCCTATGGTGACCACACTCATTCACTGTACTGGATCTGTGAAGCAGGTTTGTCACTCAGGACAAAAAAAAAACCCTTGCCTGCTCCTTCCCCATAATAGAGGGCAGTGTATGAAAGCTGTCCATACACCAGTAGAATTTTTTTTGTTTGAACAGATGTTCCAAAAATTATTTTTTTCTAATAATTAATGGGGGTAAAAGAAGCACAAAAAAAATCGAAGGAGCAGGATGGAAGTTTTTTTCTTGAAATGAAAGAAGTCATTAGAAGTCAATGTGGTTTTTGTTCAGGAAACTCCATTCATTTCCAAAATCTAATGTTAAAATCAAACAAAAGTTTGATAGACATTCTGCTCAAGTCTCTAATGGCATTATCAAATGTTCTGATGAGATTTTTCGTATAAACATTCATATGAAACTTACCAGTGTATGGCCAGCTTAAAGTGGTACTGAATGCAAGGTGTATTTAGTGTAATGCATTTTCTGCATTAAGGTAATAAAACCGCTGCAGTATCCTTTATGGCCCTTGTCCCCAAACACTTACCTGCAGTCCCTTGTCAGC